CTCCGCTCCGTGAACGGCGCTGTCCTGGCCGACCTGCGGCGCTCCCGCCGCGGGGGCCGCGGCTTTCTCGGCCCCGGGACGATAAAATGGCCGCAGTAGCGCTGCGCCCCGCAGTACCTCGGGCTCTCCCGCTCCCTCCTCGATCAGCCTGGAGGCAGCAGCTTCTGGGAGACGAGGAGGTGGCTCGGATAAAATGAATGAAGTTAGAGGAATGCGGGAGTCCATGGCGGAGAGCTGGGGCCCGCCGGCCTCTCGCCTCGCTCAAGTTCGGGGAAAAGGTCTTCGCTAGATTCAAAGATTCCTATTAATCTTAAAATCTTCTGTAGCCTGATCATATTCGAATCCAAAAGTTGGGTTTTGCAAAATGTACACCGTTGCCACGCCAGCTAGAGTGAAACTGCAAGTCATGGCCTCAGGTACATTTGACTTTTAGCATGTATGATTTTACGTTTTAAAAAGCTTTCTCGTGAAGCCGAAATACACAAAACATGCATCCTTTGAAAACTAGAGGATAGTTTATGACAGTCTAGGGAAAAACAGATACTCCTTTCTTCGACAGGTTCTTTAATCTGGGGTTTTATCGACTCCCCCTTCCCCCCACTTTACTGCGGATTTGGGGAATTCTAATTTCTGAGGTACCTGGTTCCTATCATTTCTAATCCCTGAAAAGTGAGCTTCCAAAAATGCTCGAACTGAAGAGTTTGTAGGCTAAAGTCCTAAATTAGGTAAATGAAAGCACCCAGTGTATATGAAAATTAAAGGCTAGAAAGAGAAAAAATTGTTGTTTTCCTTTAAGTTTTCTTAATTTGTTATTTTTGTTCCTGAGTGCACCTAACGTGTTTAAAATACTTTTGAGAGTGCTCCATTTTTATGCAATCGAGAGGCAAAAGGGAGTCTGGAAGACGACAGGAGATGGCAGACTGCTCCCCAAGTACTTCATCACACCACCAGAGCTAGCAAGTACTTAGAAAGAATCCCAAAAGCTGGAACAGTGCTGGCAAACCTACAAATCTCAATATTCAAAATCTCCTTAGGAAAAAGGCTTCCTGAAAGGGAGATCACAAAATACCCTTGTTTCATGAGTAACGAGATTAACAGGAAACAATTAGGAGAAATTGGTCCCAGCTAATTACAGGGAAACCAGAAAATCATACGTTCAATAGAAACCTAATAGTTAAAAAAAAAAAAAAATAAAAAAATAGAATCTGATTTTCAAAAATACCCTATTGTATCTCAGAGGAGCATTGTCCAGTTAGAGAGTTTACAGCATTATGCTGTAAATAATAATTACGCTGAGATTACAGCATTAATCCACAAAAACAAATTCTTATTGTCAGCTGAGACTAGACTGATCCAGTTCTACACAATTCTACACAACTTTTTGAAAACTAAGGATTATAAATTAAAATTATGAATTATTTGAATAAATGGTTGATGCACAGTAGTGGACTTACCAAGGTATCAAATACAGCTTTGGAGTTTTAGTGAACTGAGGTACAGTATTGATTATAATACCCTTTTAAAATAGAAAGTTTAAGGGAATAAACTATCAGTGTTAATCTAGATGCATGGTTGGTTTTAGACTTTTTGACTGATAATTTAACATATACTTTTTAATGGGGAAGGGCTGCCCAAAATTACATCTCATTGCACTGTTCTTTTTTCCTTTATTTTGGAGTTCTTTAAGGATGCAAGAGGTAGAATGTCAAAACTCTTACTAATGAAACTTTTATTAGTAGTCTATTCTCAGCCTTAGAGTGGTTTGTTTTTTCATTTGGGAAGTATTTGTGAGGGAATGCAATACTGAGAGCACTCAAGTCTTACAAAATCTTTTCAGATCCTCTTAACTTTGCTTGGAACCAGAGGATTTTCTTCATGTATAAGAAGTAACAGAATGAAAAATGAGAAAGAGAAAATTAGTATCCTCCATCCTGCTGAGGGACATCTTACAGAATTTACTGAGTTATCTTTTTCTCTGAAGGAAAACTTCAGTTGTGTTCACAGAATAAGAGCCCATGGATGTCATGCATCAGGTCATTGCTTCCTGGCCTTTAGTAGCCCCTAGAAGTTGACCAGTCCCACTGTGGGTAGTTGAGAATTACAGGACAGTGTAATATCCAGAACGGATAAACACTTGTCTGTGTGCAGCTCTGTTGGCACAGCTCTGTGTAGGGTGGAAAGCTGAATCCTACATTAGGCCGTGATAAAGAATTTTTGTCTCACCTTAGAAATCTATTTTTTCCTTTTCATCCCACAATCAAAAAGTTATTATTAATGAATCTGTCTTAGATGATTCAGTGCTGAAAATTACAGAAACAGAGAAGTATTTTTTCCTTTGTGTTTCTGATTCTTTCCAGTTACTTCTTGTTTCTTCTGTGTTTTTGTAAGGTTAGCCAAGAAAATGGGGGTAGCTATTCCCTAGAAACACTAGTTCCTTACTTAAGGAATAAAATGGAATTGGGATTGCAGTTTTGCAGCTTCTGTTGTGGTAATGTACATTACTTAGTTTTCTGTACTATATAATTGCATATAGACATTTAAGGGAATTTATAGGCACCCTGAATATTGTTTTGTTATTTACAACCAATGAACCTGCTCTGTAGACTATAAATAACTTATTTAACACTCCCATCTTTCAGGAAGTAAGTGTTCTGGGGTGAAGTGAATTTTCACTGTTTTCCATTGCCGTTCTTATGTTTCTTTAGCATATTAATGAAACACCGTCTGTATTCTCAGTTTTAAAAAAGTAACTCTTTTGTTGCTGTCCTCATAACCTGCTGCCTAGTTTTTTTCCTTTGCAGTTTCAAAGCAAAATCAGATCTATTTATTGAAATGCAACATCTTTTTCTTGTTATTATAGTTATGCTTTAATTTTAGGGGTTCTTTTATATTATTCCAGGACAGCTGGCATACTGTAGGTAGCTCTTCAGGAATGTTCCCAAAGGGAAGAATACTATTCATCTGTGTGCTAGGACTTAGAGTGATACATCAGGATATGGAAAAGGTTTTTTGTTTAACTGTGGTATCAAAGATAGATTGTCAAGTAGGTAGGAAATAACTAAGAACTGCTTAAGATCATTGGGGTTTTGTCTAAACTATTTTCTTAATTCCTTCCTTGAAGGAGACCTGTTTTTTGAATTTGACTAACTTACCTCAAAACTCAACATTGTGCTGTTGGAAAGTAACCATAATAAACAAATACCTTTTAGGTTTTTTGCTACTGTTATAGGTATTTTAAAATTTAAAATGGCCATTATTCATTTAAGTATCTTTTGTATTTGGTCATTACTGCATTAGAATTATTCAAAGAGAAACTTTTTTGCTTTAATCACAAGTTCTCTTACTGGACAGTGAGGTAAAACAACTGTGATGGGCTAAAAAAAGTAACAACTGATTAAACATCAGTTTTATAGGTATAAGAGTGATTGAGGGATATGCCAACTTTGTTATCTACAACATGGCATTAGGTATTACTTTTGGAAATAAAAATTTCTTTTTGCATTGTTGGGCTACATTTGGGAGATCATTTTTTACAGAGAAAAAAAAACTTAGAGAATTTGTTGAACAGTCCAGAACTATTACATCATTTACATCTCTTAAATAGAAAAATAAGTATGATCAATGAGGAAAAATATAACATTATGAAAGAGAATGCTTTCAAATATATGCATGAAATTATGCTGTAGAAGAAATATCCAGTTATAAATCAAATATAAAATATTCTATTGGAAAAATAGGGGATGGTCTTGCATATTTTAATTATTTCCTAGTGATGTACATAGGGTAAATGTACATTAAATCTTTGAGACAATGATTCATCTTTAACTAACGGAAGACTAAAATGTTGATAGCTTTCTAAGTTAAAAGGGGAGCATCTAAAAGGCTCAAGAAATATACATTAAAGATATATAGGATATACTTTCCAGTGTATATTCAAAATGTCTAACTTGCTTTATCATATTTTTCTCAAAGTCTCCTGTAGCAACAATGTTGTTAATCTGAAATAAACTTTTATTTCTTTCTATTATTTTTATGGTGAAGGTCTAAAGAAATATGGTTTTGCCTACAGATTGATGAAATACGTTTATTGATTGCATTTCAACTTTAAGATTAGGCAACAGCATAAATTTTTTCTTTGTCTTTCAGTGTAACTCTTTCATTATTTTACTGATAAGAGCAGAAGTTCTAACTGATTTAAAGAAGGAAAAATAGAAAATGTTTCATTTTTCATCATAAATAGTATGGCATAACCACAATAGTCTTTCACCTACTAACAAAAAAAAAAATGTATCTACAGCACAAAATGCCAAAATCAAAGACTATGTAATGAGGAAAATAAAATAATAGAATTTTTTGCTACAATAAAAGTTAAGCACAAATAATAAAAGCACATCAAGACTCAGACTGTTACTTAAGGTATGTCAGGAATCCAAAAACATCTAGCATACAAAACATACTATGCATTTATGCACAGGGTCAGATCCTGTCTCTCTAATCTCTTGCTTTTCAAATCAATGGGAAATATGCCTTAAGTCAACTTCCAAAGTATGTTTAAACATGTTTAACAGATACTGAAACTTCTTTTGTATGAAGTTATATAGAAGTCATTCTGACTATCACACGTGGAGAGAAATACAGGTTCTTAATTGTCATCTAGCAAAACTTGCAGGTGGCCTTTCTTTAAAATGGTCTCACCATTAGAAAGAGAAACTGTTTTGTAGCTGATTCTTTGGAGATCCTTTGGCAATAACCATGAGCTTTAAGAATTTTGTTACTAGAGATGGTGTGTTTAAAAAAATGTGTGTAATAAATAGAAAATATCTAATTGATACTGTTTCAGCAGGCTCACACCTCTCAGAGGAGGATCACGTTTTCCTTGCTTGTTTCATTAGTTGCCTATATGTCCAGAGCTTTAAGAATACTTGTACTTCAAAGCAATTAAGGCAATCTTTTAGGAAAAGTTGTTACATATTTCAAATAGGAAACTTTTATATATATTGGAGGCATGTTTCTAAAAATAAACTACATCAAGGGCTCATAACATGGCGGATATTAATCTGTATACATACAAGTAAAAATACATTCCAAAGCAAAGAAAAAGGTCTGTCCCAGCTGGCAGCGATGTGACACCAAGACCAGTCCAGCTGGAGAGGTGCATGGCAAAAATAAAGGGATGGGAACAACAAGAATGATCTGGGAAACAAAAAAAAGGGAAGAAACCATGCACGGTTCAAGGGTTGAATCTCAAAGACTACCCCAGGGATCGATCCTCGAGGACCCAGGAATAAGGAGGGTATAACAATATATAGGGTGGGTTTGAGGGTGCAGGATCCAATCAGTAGCAGAGATAAGAAACATAACCATGTAAAGGGTAACCAGCCAATCATGTATCAAAACCAGGAACACAACCTTATTTGTAACAAACTGATTAATATGCTAACTCCCATGAAGCAACTTCTGTTTCTCTCCTCTCGCCCTAAGGGTTGATGTTCTCCCTCCTAGCATGGTGTTTCCCAGGGCGAGAGGTTGATGCTCTGTGCTTATGCAAATAGAGGCACTTTGTTGTCCAACCCAACCAGACCCATTCTATAAAAGGTCAAGTTTCTGTACCTGTGAAGATGATCCATAGGGTTGTAGCAGTCATAATGAAAGCAGAGGTAAAAATATCACAGCATCCTCCCTGTTCTCAATTTGCATGACTTACTCCCCTACTGCTCATGCTGCTGGTGAAGACACCAAGTTTGTTGCTTGCAAATTCCCCTTCTAATCAGAACTTCTGAAACCTCTTACCTAATATACATAGGAGATCAGAGATCTGGACTGTGGAGATGGATCTGCTCCTGCTAGTGCACTGGTTAAGTACTGTACTGGCTCTGTCCCATCTGGGAAGTGGAGCCAGTTAAAACATACGTACCAATAGCTACTGCAAATGATAGAATCCACATAATGCAGGATTTGAAAGACGTAAAGGGATAATTTCATTTGTCCTTCTGCCTAGAGTTATAACTTAAAATGTCACCAGTATATGCCCTTAAAAATCTCAGTTTAAGACTGATCTTCAGTCTCCACAGATAGTACACTAGAATGGGAGGAGTGGGGGGTGTCCATGTTAACTTAATCTTTTCTAGAAACAGGTTTCTTCTTCAGTTAGAATTCACTGTGCACTTTTTTAGTAACCTCTCTATACTGTAAGATTGTAGATACTGCTGGGTATCTCAGTCTTTTCTATAGATCCTTCAGTCTTTCATTTACTATTTTCAATCTCTCTGGGGTCTCTTTAACTTATCTGGTGGGGCATTCAAAATGGAATGCAGTACTAGTATAGCTCTCTCCAAAACTGAAAAGAGTGGAATGAGTCTTCTGACATATTGCAATTCCTTCAATATATCCTAAAATATTTTTCAACAAAACCACAGATCATGGTCAGTCTGTAATCCAGTATAAATCGTCCATCCTTTTATGTATTGTTCCCTAGCAGCTATATCTCAATTTGTATTACTTAATTTTATTTCTCCGTCTAAAGTGTCTGATTTTCTACATTTCTTTGCTGCATATCATCTTGATGGTTTAAGTAATTTCTTTTAATTCTAATCCTGTCCTTAACCCCTTGTTAGGTGTTTGCAGTACTTGTGGTCTGGCAGTGAAAGTAATAGAAATACAGCTAGGATAAATCTGTGTATGATAAGCCTGTGTAGGATCAAGTGCCTCTCTCAGACTGTCAGGGAAGCACAAAAGTGTGTTTTTCCAGCCTATTTCCTGGTTCAGTTTTAAGAAGTCATACACAATGGTTAATATCGTACTGGAGTCAGTATCACTTGCTTTCTCTCCCTTTTGATCCTGTGTGCCAGCTATTCCAGTGAAGATGGACAGAGCTGTAGCATGTCATCAGAGCTTTTCGGTGATGCTCAGGAGACTGGAATACAAGTCCCAGAGATCTGCAAGAAGACATTCACATCTGTGTAGAAGTCCAGAATGCTTTGATCTTCCCAGTGTTTTTCCTCAAGATGAGAATAGCCTTCTGAGACATTTCCCTCTGTTAGGAGGATGTGGATGTCCACTGCTATTTTTGAAGATGTCATTTATGTTCTTAATTAAGTTATATCCTAACAGCACCAATCCACATGAAATACTGTTATACATGCATTAATTGTCAAATGCCAGAAGGTGTGCTTGGAAGGCTCAGACAAGATAAAGTTTTCTCCAGAATTAAAACTCAATTAGCCCCTGTGTAAACCATATGAAGTAAGAGATGAGAAATATTTGTGGCATAGAGTGTGGGCCTGATGGAGTCTGTAGAGAACCTTGATTGATCTAAGCAATATGAGCCCTGAGACAGAGGTTAAAGAAATTAAAAATTACCTATGTGTGCCCAAAGTTATACTTTAAGGATATCTTAGTGGGAGGGGCTGTTCTAACTCACAGTGACTTGTGAGATCTGTGGTATTTGTTAACAAGCTGTACCAATTTGTAAAGTGGCCTATCAAAGCATTTGTTTTAACTTTAAAGATTCTCCAAGTCTTTATGCTCTTTGATAAATGACGATGTCAGTCATTAAATGTCTGTCTTTGATTCATTCCAGGCATATGTAATCATTATCATTAGCTGCCTGTATAAAAACAAGATGAATCTGGTTGCCATTGGTGTGTTATTCCTAATGGGTACCATTAGGTCATGTTCAAGGAGATGTAGCTGTTAAAAGTCGGAGGCCCGGAAGCTAAGAGATAGTTGGGGTCAAGGAATGGCTGCTACCACTGTGAGTCCTGTCACAAATTGTTGGAGCCCCCTATAATAACACAGTCATTCACATTAAAATATCACTTTTACTGCTGTTGGTTTCATCTAAAGCTAAGGGGAACTTAACTACTACGAGCATAACTGTTATGTGACTGGCCTGCAGACTTTTACAGGAGTGGTTTATACTGTGTTTGGTGTTATTGTCCATTTTATGCTAAAAATGCTTGAGAGTTGCTTGAGGAGTTGTCTTTTCTGGGAGCTTGAGGTCCACATCAGCTTGCAAGCATATTGTGAACATGTGTAAGCATATTACTCAAATTATTTAGTGCTCAGAAGAAAGATAATGTTCCTTTTAATATCATGAAGACATTAATCTCTATTTCTTTTTGAGAAAACCCCATAACTTGTGATTAAATTTGCTTATTTTAATACA